AGGGATAGAGTGACATGAGGAGGATAGGGGGTGGAACGACGGTGTTGGTGAGAGGAGAGATGGCCGGTGGATGGGGGCGGGGGAACGGGCGGTGGGGTTAAAGGGGGAAGTGGAGGAAACAGTGAGGAAGGCGGAGAAGGCAGCGACAAAGGACAGTGAGGAGGGAAGGGGGAAAAAGGGGTGAGAGCGGAAGAAGGAAGGACAGAAGTAAAGTGGGACGAGTAAGGAAGAGAGAAGGAGAGAGAAGAATGAGGGGGGGGAGGTAGTGAAAAGTGAAGGAGTGGATATAGGAAGTAAGGAAGTAGGGAGATTTAGGGGGGGGAACAAGTGAGGAAAGAATTAAAGAGGAGAAGGATTTTGAGGAAAAATAAGTATCAGAAAGGGGAAGAGGGGGAGGGACAACCAAGGAAGAAGCACAGGGGGAAACTAGTCAAAAGGGGAGGCAGGGAGATAGAGAAAGCATAGGGATAGATACGAGAAGGCGGACTGGTAAGGATGGGGAGGAATCGTAATGGAGGAGAGTGGCGAACAAGAGGGAGACGACAGGAAGCGGTAGAAGAGAAAGGGAAGAAGTGAGGAAGGAAGAAGGGGCGGGAATTGGAGGTGAGGGAGAAGCAAAGGGCGACGTGAAAGAGAGAGATCGCTGAGAGGAGAGGGGGGAGGGGGGTACGGGGAGGGAGGGGGTATGATGACAAATGGAGGGGAGGGGGGGAGGCTGTAAAAAGGAGGGGGAGGGCGGAAGAGTCCTTTCAGGGGGGCAAGTGTGAGCTTGGAGTGTGGTAGACGGTAGAGGGAGGGGAAATCAAGATACAGGGGGGGAGGGGGGGTACTGAAATGAGAAAATGAGGAAAGGGGTCTAAGGAGGGAGAAAAAAGAGGAGGGAGGCAGAGAGACGGGAGATGATAGATAAGAGAGAGAAGAGAGGGAGAGAGAGAGGAGAGAGGAGAGAAAGGAAGTTAAGAGAGAGAGGAGAAGAGAGAGAGAGAGAGAGAGAAGAAGAGAGAGAGAGAGGAGAAACGAAGACAGAGAGGAAGAGACAAAAAAAAAAGAGGAAAAATAACGCGATCAGAAAAAAACACAGACAACAAAAAGAAAGGAAAAATTGTAAAAGCGAGAGAAGGAAAGAGAAAGGAAAAAATATAGTCTTATATTAGTTGAAGAACCACTGTCAACAGCGATAGCCGGATCCTTAACCTCCTTGAAGCGCAACTGTTTAAGAACTCTCATCCTCCTTTTTACCCAAGACTATTACACCCCTCCTACCCTCGCTCACCCCACCTCCCTCCCACCCCCCCCACTCTCTGTCCCATTTCCCTACTCTATTCAGTGGTCTCCCTTTCGTCCATCTAATATCTAATTTCATCTTTCGTCTTTCATTTCTCCTACACCTCTTCCTCGCATTCTAATTTGCTTCTCCCACACTCCTCCATCTTCTCTACTCCTCGTCCTCTTTTTTGCTGTCTTTTTCCTTCTTCACTTACTCATCTCTCGATCTCCTCTGTCTCTTCCTTCCTCCTCCCCTCCTATCTCTCTATCTAAATTTCTCTCTAATTAAATTTCAAAAAGTCTCATGTTTCATCTTCGTCTAATCTCTTCTCTCTCTCTAAATTTTCTCGTTGATTTTGAATATTCTCCGCTATACTATGAGCCTGTGTATATTTTGCGCAAACCAGACAGACAAACACACACACACTTCTCCAGTACTGACAATCTATTAAACTATTAAGCGCTTCTCTTGGTTTCCCTGCACCACTCACTTACGATATACTCTGCCATTCTCTCCCTCATCTCCTCATCTCTCTCTCTTTCTCTTTCTTTCTCTCTCTCTTTCCTTTTCTCTCTTGCTCTCTCTCTCTCCATCTCTGTCTCTTCTCTCTTCGTCTCGTCTCCTTCCTTCCCTTTGTCTCTCTCTCTCCCTTTTTCCTTTCTTTTCTTTTCTCTCGCTTCTTCTCCTCAAATCTGCTCTCTTCCCTTCATCTCCATTAATCTCCCTTTTCTCTCGTCGGTCTTCTTCCAACTCGTGCCAGGTTCTCAGGCAAATCTCTTTCTCCTTTCACTCTTCGCTCGTCTCTCGTCACTCTCCCACTCTCTGCCCTCTCTCTCTCGTCCTCTCTCTCTCTCTCTCTCTCCTCTTCCTTCTTCNTCTCTCTCTCTTCTCTCTCTCTCTCTCTCTCAACTCTCTCTCTCTTCTCTCTCTTCTCTCTCTCTCTCTCTCTCTCTCTCTCTTCTCTCTCCTCTCTCCTCACTCTCTCTCCCCCTCTCCCTCTCTCTCCCCCTCCTCCCTCTCTCTCCCCCTCTCCTCTCTCTCCCCTCTCCCTCTCTCTCCCCCTCTCCCTCTCTCTCCCCCTCTCCTCTCTCTCCCCCTCTCCCTCTCTCTCCCCTCTCTCTCTCTCCCCCTCTCCTCTCTCTCCCTCTGCCCTCTCTCTCCCCTCTCCCTCTCTCTCCCCCTCTCCCTCTCTCTCCCCCTCTCCCTCTCTCTCCCTCTCCCTCTCTCTCCCCTCTCTCTCTCTCTCCCCCCTCTCCTCTCTCTCCCCTCTCCCTCTCTCTCCTCTCCCTCTCTCTTTCTTGTTTCTTTCCCTCTCCCTCTCTCTCTTTCTTTTCTTTCCCTCTCCCTCTCTCTCTTTCTTGTTTCTTTCCTCTCCTCTCTCTCTTTCTTGTTTCTTTCCCTCTCCCTCTCTCTTTCTTGTTTCTTCCCCTCTCCCTCTCTCTCTTTCTTGTTTCTTTCCCTCTCCTCTCTCTCTTCTTGTTTCTTTCCCTCTCCCTCTCTCTCTTTCTTGTTTCTTTCCCTCTCCCTCTCTCTCTTTCTTGTTTCTTTCCCTCTCCCTCTCTCTCTTTCTTGTTTCTTTCCCTCTCCCTCTCTCTCTTTCTTGTTTCTTTCCCTCTCCCTCTCTCTCTTTCTTGTTTCTTCTTTCCCTCTCCCTCTCTCTCTTTCTTGTTTCTTTCCCTCTCCCTCTCTCTGTCTTGTTTCTTTCCCTCTCCCTCTCTCTGTCTTGTTTCTTTCCCTTTTCGTATAGATATTCTCCATCCTCCTCATGGTGCGCCTCCACTTGCAGTCTGTGACAACTCCACAGACAGTCATGGAACAGCAGAGATATTGGTAAACCGTATTCATGTTGACAGATATAGAAAGGGTATTTCTGTATATTTGACGAAGAGATATTCGAAGCCAGTTAGATACATCTCTTATACTTTGAAGTTATTCATTCTCAATCACACCTTTGCTACACCTGACATTGATCTTGAAGAAAATGTACGTATTCCAACTGGTCGAGCACAGCTGATGATTCAGTGACCATAGCCATGCCATTTAAAAAGAGTAGTGAACAGCAGCGGCACCTGTCTGTCCTTCCTGGCAGCCAGGGCACAAAACATAGGCTCACTGCATTTAATCCGGAAAACGTGGTAACTAGAAATATACTTCACCAAATGTCTAGACTATCAGAACAGAGTATTCAAGTGTCACTATACTGGATACCCTCTCAGTGATGTGAAAGCGTTGATCTGAGTTAGCCAAATTAGCACCTTCTCATGCAGAACCATATATAATCCGCTCTCCCTCTGTCAAATGAAAATAAAAACATGTTATCAGTTGTCTTCAGACTGAGGGTCAGATATGGTCCCCTGAAGAGATGAAAAACGGACATAATACTATCTGTTGTTATAAGAGTATTCCTGAGACCCTAGAAATATAGACATACCCCATAAAGTCTGTAATGGACTGCCCCGGAGACCGCAGGTTACACTAAGCTACGCATAGGATATCAGCACACTATACAGTATTTACAGGATGCAGTTCTGGATGCGAAACCAGTTTTCATTTCACCACTGCAAGCTAAGTTATATAATCTTATCCATTACTTTGTTGCACGAGAACTGCATCCTATCGGTCAGGTAGATCTGTCCACAGATTAGCACTTGCTGATTATATTAACTTTATTATAGATACTGATCTTGTCTTCGACGTGATTAGTGACGTAAGTTTTTTTTTTTTTTTTTTTTACCAACCAGGTGATTCAAAAGTGACAGTGGCACAGCTAAAGAAAGGTTATCATTCTTTTGACTAATAGCCGTTTACACAAACAGAAGCACAACCAGTTTGGATAGATGCTTTGGTATCTTAGCCTGTTTTTTGCATGACGTGTACATGTTCTGTAAATAGATGTTATCTAATCATTTTTTTTTTTTTTTCTCTCCCTCTCTTCTCTCCCTCTCTCCCTCTCTCTCCCTCTCTCTCTCTCCCTCCTTCTCTCTCCCTCTCTCTCTCTCTCTTCTCTCTCTCTCTCTCTCTCTCTCTCTCTCTCTCTCTTCTCTCTCTCTCTCTCTCTCTCTCTCTCTCTCTCTCTCTCTCTCTCTCTCTCTCTCTCTCTCTCTCCCTCTCTCTCTCCCTCTCTCTCTCTCCCTCTCTCTCCTCTCCTCTCTCCCTCTCTCTCTCTCCTCTCTCTCTCCCTCTCCTCTCTCTCTCTCCCTCTCTCTCTCTCTCTCTCTCTCTCTCTCTCTCTCTCTCTCTCTCTCTCTCTCTCTCTCTCTCTCTCTCTCTCTCTCTCTCTCTCTCTCTCTCTCTCTCTCTCTCTCTCTCTCTCTCTCTCTCTCTCCCCCCCTCTCTCTCTCTCTCTCTCCCTCTCTCTCCCTCTCTCTCCCTCTCTCTCCCTCTCTCTCTCTCTCCCTCTCTCTCCCTCTCTCTCCCTCTCTCTCCCTCTCTCTCCTCTCTCTCCTCTCTTCTCTCTCTCTCTCTCTCTCTCTCTCTCTCTCTCTCTTCTCTCTCTCTCTCTCTCTCTCTCTCTCTCTCTCTCCTCTCCTCCCTCCCTCCCTCCTCCTCCCTCCCTCCCTCCCTCTCTCTCTCTCTCTCTCTCTCTCTCTCTCTCTCTCTCTCTCTCTCTCTCTCTCTCTTCTCTCTCTCTCTCTCTCTCTCTCTCTCTCTCTCTCTCTCTCTCTCCCTCCCTCCCTCTCCCTCTCCCTCTCCCTCTCCCTCTCCCTCTCTCCCTCCCCCATAGATTTTTTTTCTTGAATTCATCCTTATGTCAATTGAAAGGATACATTACCATATTTTTTCACTTCCTCAGGGTGTCAGTTATGACCATGTTGAACTAAACTTCTATATCAATGGAAAACCAACCAACACTCCAGTCACAAGTTTTAAGGGTACTGTGTATCCAGTCCTGTATGGTAAGTCTAGTGTTACATTTCCACTGCTTAACTATAGAGGAATTGAGGTTATGGATATTCTCTAATGCACTATTGCTGACTTTTGGTTCAGTAGTTGCAATGTTTTTTAGAAATTTGCATTCATTCCATCAAATGCCAGTCATTTACAGGGAATAGAACCACAATAACAGTATTTTATAATTTATTATTGTCTCATTCAGTATCAATAAATGTCAATCAGATTCTGTAATCTAGACATCATTCTTATTGGAATGCTTTGATGTTGTTACTTATTCTTGTGTAACTAATCATATTTCACATTTTGTTTTTCAGTTGATGATGGTGCTATTATGGATGTAATATTCGAAAACTTTAGCCACGGACCTCCACCAGGATATGATTCCATAATGGTTGAGAAATCTCTATTGGAGAATGATTAGTGTAGAAAATTATGTTAGATTTTTTTTTTCAATGTGCTGCTGTCCATCTGTTCTTTGGATACGTATGTTTTATCCAGTGATTCTTATTTATAACTACCCATGCTTTTTGAGAAACTTTACTGTAAAATTATTGTCTTTTGTGTTTATTTATGCTTCTGTTTCTTCTACTCTTTCATACCATGGTGATTTATATGGTTAGATACAACTGTTGATTAGTTATTATTGTTTCTTATAGTCTTTCTCTTAACTTTTTTTTCTGCGTCTTTGATTCATTGTTGAAAGTTCTGTTGTTGTTATATTTAGCAGCAAGAAAATGTAAAATATTATTTCTTAGGAATGATTATCTCATAATTTATTTTTTTCTGTGTTATGTGTGTTTTGTTTTTTCTCCATCTATGAGATCTGATTTTTTGGTAGCATATTCACAAACTCACCTTATTTGCAAGTACATTGTTAAGGGATGCCTTACTTTTGCTTAATGAGATCAGTATCCAAAATGGAAACAGGCAGACAGATAAATGCACAGCTTTAAAGTGAGTATGGATATCAAATGCGCTTCCCACTCTACACAAAGATATGCTTTTTACTAACAGAAATCTCCACTGACACCTTACATAGATGCACCTCTTTGTGCACCATAACTCTGTTGTTTAAGAAAAAAAGGATGTTAATGTCTTCACAATACATTGCACTGTACTTTTCAACTTTGATTTTGAGATGCAAGAAGCTAGTCTATTTGAAGATTTTCATGTTACAGTCTTTGATTGGTTTAAAGGATACAGTGTAAGCAATCTTAGCATGATGGTCCTTTTGTTGTGACTGCAATGTTAATTTTTAGACTTGTTCAGGGTTAGTGTCCATTATAATCTGTTCTATCAAAGTATTTTTATATATTAAGTATATTAAGAATTATTTTGTGGCTGTTTAATTAATCTTTGTGCTACTATTTATCTGTCATAAAAGTGTATTTATTTCAGCTTCCTCTTCCAAAATGTGTGGTTGATTCCATAAAGAAGAATAAGTTATTTGATGTAATGACAGGGTCTTTGATTTATGTTACAATCGCAAGAATGACAATGATGTGTTTTCTAGAATTAAGAAATTTGAGGGCATTCCTTAATGCTGTGAAAATGTTCAAGATATGTTGTTCTCTTAGTATAATTAGATTTTCCTGTTGTGCTTGCTCGTTTTTTTTCAGTTTATTTATATTATCTTATTATTTTTTCTTAGAATTTATTAGTGATTCAACAAAATTCATAACATTCCCCTATTATGCAATCAAAAGAAGGTAGAGAAAGCACAATTCATCATCAGTTTTCAGAGAGAATGTAACATTAAATGATTTTCTTATAAAATGTTAATGGTGTGATTGTGATTAATTTAATGGTAACCTAAAAATGAAATCACTATAGCACTAATTACTGGAAATACTGTTTTTACAACCATGGAAGCCTTGATACTCAGAAGATAAATATCAGGGAATTTGTTATTCAAGATTGTAAATTTTGTTTTTGTTTTACTTCTTTTTGGAACTATTAAAGTCTTGTGTATTTGGAGTATAAGAGTGAGGTATATATTAGAATAAAAGTGAGTTCATCTTGTCAGAAGATGTATAAATTTGTGAAACTTCCCATTGTTTTGTTTTCTTCCTTTGATGCGATGGTTCTTCCACCTCTGCAATTTTTCTTTGGTTCTTTTTCTTCTTGTCTTTCTCTGTTGTTCTCTCTTCCTTTTCTCCTTCTCTGTCTCCTCATCATCATCACCATCACTATCTTCTCTTACTCCTTCCCCTCTTTTGTTTTTGCTTGTTTTAACACTTCCAGAAATTGGATGCTAAATCATGGCCACTCCCAAGTTTATAGTCTCACTTTTAACAGTTCTGAATGGCAGAAATTCCCCCAAATAATCTTTTCAGAAAGTGAGGGAATTCAAAAGAAATATTTCGACTTGAAATATACAATATACTCTTCATTTTGTCGTATAGTCTTGGTTAAAAAATGTGTAGGGTATATTTCGAATTCTGTTTCAAACATCCTCTTTATATCACACTTTTTGTATAGGGTAAGACAGATTCGAAGCTTCAGTTCATTACAGGACTTTTGTCCACCACTGTACAAGCCTCAGTTCACATCATCATCTGAGTAAAAGCACTTTTAACCCCAAAATAACTTTGTGTTTAGAATTTTGCATCTCCCACTTGTCTGTTGTTATCCAAAGTTTAGTTCATTTACCTGTGATAATGAATGCTCTCTGGCTTTCTCCATGTGAACAGTAACGATAACTTTGGTCTCCTGTGGATGTGGACGTGCCACCATCATGTAAAAGGGATTCCATGGGTAGTATACCTTTAAAGGCAAAGTGTGGGCTAGAGAAGTAGATTTTTATGTGAAATAGGTGTTGGAGTGTTGTAGTATTTTTCTTCAATTAGTGTGCTTAAATGATTGTTACTTACAAAAATATAGAGTTCATTTTATGATTAACAGAAAATGTGTTAATCTTTAAAGCAAGTAAAGAATTTCACAAAGGTTTTCACAAAGGCAGTGTTGAGTATTACATGATTTTAGATATGCTGTGGAAAGGATAGTTCTAGGTGTTACTAATACTGTAAAATAATCTGTATGTTGTTAATATTGATGCAAGTTTCATGAAGTTTAAAAGAAATATATTTATTTAATTAATTGAAGATTCTTAGGGTCTTATTCTAACATTCCTACTCTCAATTCTTTTTGGGATTTGTAAAAAAAAAAGTTCCCCTTAACTAGGCAACATAGAAAACTTTTTTCTTTATCATTGTTTTAGTATTTAATGTGAATATCAAAGAAATATATTCCCATGTGATTGATAACTACTAAATAAACCAATAGATTTTGTATAAATTACTTTTCATTTATTTTATATTACAGAACAAATAGATATACTGTGTATACCATAATGTCTTTAGGGATGAGTTGTTAACCGAGCCTAACTGAAAAAAAACTTTTTCCACACAACATAACATGAAAATTGTATTAAAATGTACCTTTAGAAGCATATACTGCATGGTATCCTCATTTGCATTTATTATCATTGTGATCACTATTATTATTATGATTATTATTATTCCATGGGTCATCAAAGATGATTAATTTCTGTATATATTGATTAGAGAAGAGTCTCCAAAGGGTATGTATACTGATTAGGCAGTACATGTGGAAGTTTTAGTTGGATTTGCTTGATTGTGTCTATCTGTAGAATCAGGAAATTAAAGGACAAAATAGTTGATTCATGCCATTATGCAAGATAAAATGCATAATTTATCCATGGTGAGTAAAATTTATATGAACCTTCTTCACTGCATCACCAAAGATTGAAAAATATGATAAAAATATATGTTTACTGGACTGTTATATTACAAGTGTCTATGGCAGAGTGATCCTATTCTCTGAGACTGAGATAGATCTCTTTTATATATTTTGTAAATGTAGTTGATTTTCATAGCTGTGAATGTAGATTACCAGGTAGGATACAGTGAATTAAACCTTATACCATATTAATCAATTCAAATGCATTATTTATTTCTCCTGATGAGTATGTAATAGGAATTGTAGCTTTAGGTATGTGCATGTACTATTCGAAAGCAGTTGCATGTGATAACAGCGTACTAAACCGATGTGAATTACCAGATAAAATTAGAACTACAATATACATTTGTCACTGTGTTCAATATAAATGGTTCAAGCAACATATATAACAGCTTTCATCACAAAGCTAATATGTAAGAAAAAAAATCAAATAGCCATTATCATACTGTCCACACACTGACTATTAAATTTGTATTAATTAATCCAAGAACAATAAATTTATATTACTATTCTATATTTACTTGACCTTTCCATTATCTGATTATAAACAATTTGCTGATTGTTATGCAGGTATTTAAAATAGCTTCAGCCAGGGCTGGAATTCAGCTTGGTGTGGGCCAAAGCTGTGAGAAATTTGGAGGCCTTCTTTCGTAAAGTTTAAATATTTATTTAAAGGTATTATGAAACTTGAAAACATTAATGCTAAATACGAGCAAAACGACAAACGAATAACTTGTATGAATGAAATATAGAATCATCTTAATTATGCACCATAAAATTAACTTCATCTTTCTGCTCAGTGAAGGCTATACATCTAAAACCTTGAGTTACCATGATGAACTGAGGGACACTATGAACCCTTCAGTTTTTCATATCTTGATTTCTTCAAAGATACAATTGTGTCAAAGCTTTAGGACAGAATAAGTGTTTATGAAGAACTGAGCTATTCATTTGCAAGCATTATTATCCCGAAATGTTTGCAGTTCTCTATGCTTTAGCAAAGACTGTAAAATTGAGCATGCTTATTATCTGTTACAACCTTCTAACTTTTCCTAGCTTTGTCCTTATATCCAGTATACTGGAGATTAATAGTCCCAGCTGTTTCCTTACATCTAATATACTGTAATCATTAAGGGACGTATAATCATCTATTGCCTTGCTAAAATTCAGTATTCATCAGCACAAGTAAAGTCTAACATGATATCCATTGACAATAGATCTATTAGCACTTCACAAGTCAAGTGAGCCCTACTGTACCATGTCAACTGCTGCTTTCACATATTTTTTTCTTTTTTTCACTTCACAAAAGAAGCTTTGTCTTAAAAATAAATTTACAAGGTACATAGAATTCAGTTATATGAAAAGAACACCATAAAAACTAAAGGATCTAAGAAAATAGTATTCATTAGTATAACCTTTCTTTTTTTAAGATCTGGAATGTTAACCCTGTAAAATAAGTATTGCTTTGTAAATTTGTCTATATTCTAATTACAGTTCTACAATAATTACTATAGTTAGTAGAAGTAGAAGAAGAGAAGAGAAAAAGGAAATTCTGAAAGAGGAGTAGAAGAGACTGACATGAAAAATAAAAAAAATAAAGAAACTGTAATTACTCCCTGAATAGTCATTGTTAATGGTTATTACCTTCACTTGTGGTAAGACAAGAAAAGGTACCATTTGAACATTTTTTTTATAAACCAATCTTTGGGAAAGATAAAAGAGTCATTATAACTAGAAATATTTATACTGTGATGCAAGTTCTCTATTGCAAAATTTACATCTTAATAAGTTAATCTGTTTATTTTTTTCACACACACACACACACACACACACACACACACACACACACACACACACACACACACACACACACACACACACACACACACACACACACACACACAAACACACAAATGCACACACACACACACACACACACACACACACACACACACACACACACATATATTATATATATATATATATAATATATATATATATATATATATATATATATATAATATATATATATACATATATATATATATACATATATATATATATTTATATATATTTCATGCAAAAGAGTATAAGTATTTTATATAACTGTGTTATTAAGCAATCACTCTTTACTTATAAATTTTCATCTAAATTTCATTATTTTTTTTAAACACATTATATAATATTCACTTCAAGTTTTGAGTGCCCTCCCCTTCTGGTAGTGTATCTTATCAATATGGCTATTTATCTACAAATAGCTGACTCTCCCCTCATAAACTCAAAGTTGTATATGTGAGCTTACCCTTACTGGCTATAGTGAAACTACAGTGTGCTGTTTGTATACTGTTACTATAGAACAATACACAAACAGTGCTTAATTACTATAAATCAGTAAAATTATAGTAAATCTTTAAGGTTGTAATGAGAAATTCTACTCTAGTGAAAATCCTCACTTACATAGAAAACAGACAAAATGAAAAACATATAGCAATTCTCCAACTATTATTTATTGTTCCCAAATCACAATGACATTAAGCAGTCTTAGAAATGATACATTTAACCTATACTATCTACAAGACCATATTTATTTTACATTTTTTAAGATCATAATTACTTTGATACTTCAAGAATCCAACTACAATTATGAGGTAATTTTATGTACTGCTGAAAAGATTTAAAAATCTGAATATGTGAACTATAGGAAGACCTGAACACCTTTATTCTTGAGGTGGATTTAACAGCTTCTTCCAGTCAGGATATATACGCTCCTTTATCCTGATGCAGTAAGCAGCTAACTTGGATATGTAACTGGAAAATAAAAACAGAATTGCATATATATTCCTGTTTACGTATCATAAAAGAGAACATAATTTAAAATACAATCTGGATATATATTACTCAATATGATATTCCTTCTTTCTCTTCCTCTAACCTTTGATAAGTGTCTCAAAGGGTGAGTCAGTGTCATTCCACATGCCCTGGGCCAAAAATCCAAAAATAATGCAGTCAGTTGAACAGGGCTGGTCACCACCAAAATACTGGCCATCACCTGTAAAAATACTGTAATTGTATCTAAATCCAGAAATACATAGTAATGTGAATTATATGTTGCAAAAGTACTTTTCTGTAATATACAGTTTCACTTTCATAGATAAGTCCTGTATTTTTACAATATAAACTATGAACAATATCTGTACACAGTTGCAGAGGTGTAGCTCTGATAAAATGACAGTGTAGGCCCTATATAGTCTGAGCATCATAACTGCACAAGAAGGCACCAAAAACGTTTAGAGGGGTTCAGGGCACACTCCCCGTTTTATTTATTTATTTTTTTAAGATGTGATTTCTTGCATTCTGGGAAATTCTTTAAAGGGAAGTTATTGCTATATAGTTATACAAAAATGTATTGAATACTTTCTTGTTTACATTGTGTTTTTAGTCCTTTTATGATTTTCATTTGTGATAAAGTGTAGACCCGGGCCTTTAGTGCCTAATAGGTGCTACACCAATGAATTGTAACATTCAAAATCCATGATTACATTTTCATAATAACAATAAGAACAGGCATGAAATTATT